TATCATGTGGATTCTCTTCCCATTCTGTCATTCACAAGCTTGTCATCACCTCCACTACAATCAACACTTTATATCAATCAAACAGCATTGGTTTGAGCTCATTATGTACATTCTTATGCTTATGGCCATCACATTTACCTGCTACCAATATCCTTTTGTGACTTCTCTCCCTCTTATGCAAACTTCTAAAGTCCGCTTTGTGTGATGCAGACACCTATTTAATCAAACTTTTGCAAACACATATTCATACTATTTCCCACTTTATCAAGTAGCATCTTATGTCATGATTATAGATCTTATTTCTCTACTTAATTCTCATCACATTTCTATCTGTATTGTTTGTAGCCCCATCCTATGCCATCCTACCCTGAGCCATGGATTCTATCACTTTTAATCACTATCCCTCATCCCTCATCCCTCTCTCTCCACATATAGCCTTTGGTTTATCCAAAGCGTATACCCTCCACCTGCACTTACTGTTACCCTTGCCTTATCCATTCCACTCTTTGAAAAACTGTCATAATCCAACTAAGGCTCATATGGAGCCAGGGATTTGTGGTTTTGCACTATGGTGATCAAAAGTAAGAATGCACACATTTCAAACTCACAGGTCATTGTTAGAGTTCAAATGGTCAATATACAGAATGTGTCATGGTGGATGTTGATGAAATTCATGAAAAGATAGGCAAAAGAGACTTAGCTTGATAAACCACCAATACTCTGGGTCTCAACCAATTTGATGCTCAGATGAAGAAGGTGTGAGAGATTGAAAATTGGTAGCCCTAGATAAATCAAGTCAATCTTGAGATGATTTAATTTGGTGTTGATCAATATAATTAAGATCAGGTGTGATTGAATTCAAAGATGATTCTTGTAAACTGAAATATACTTTAGGATTGATTTGAGTTGATAAGACAATTCTCCCCATGTTAGCCAATCAACAGCAGACAATACCATCATTATGATCATTCTTCTGATTGGTCAAGAGACTGTCATGATCTCCACATGTGGCTGGCCAAAGTTGGCCCTCAAATTGTAGGGGTATCCAAGGACAACAATGAAAAGATATTGAGTGGTGTCATAGGAAAGTCAATATTCTCAACAATTAACTTGTCTGTTATTGTCTGTTGGTGCTGGGCAGGAACTATGTCATGCTCAAAACATGCTTGATTCTCCAGCAACTGAATAAGCAAATTCAATTTCTCAAATATGCTCAGAAAGCAGGATATCTGATTGATATGTAGTAGTATCACTATTTTATGTGATGATATTGGCCCAGGAAGTTCACTCAATTGTAGGCTGGGAAATGTAAACCCCTTACGGAACCTGCAAATGTTTCAACATGACTTTTGAAAGAAATTGATAAAATGAGTGAGTCAAATTATATCACATGGCAATTTGCCAAACAATTGAGGAAATCAGGATATTAATTGCAATAGTGGATGGTTAGTTGTTGAATCTCAAGTTTATAATCAAGTATTATTAACAAACCTGTCTTCAGCATGATGAGTTTGAAACTTGTATAGGTAAAAGCATCTCTTGTCATAGACTGCATGTTGACTTTATTCATAATTAAGGAAGAGCTTTTCAAAACCATTTCTTATACAATCTGTTTGATAATGAATGATCAAAACCTGAATCTGAATGACCACACCAATGGTACTTCATTGTTTCAAAAAGCCTTTTGATTGAGTGAGCTCACTTGAACTACAAAGAATGTAGCCAGGATAGAAAGATGATCAACTTCAATTAATCATTTTGATGCATAAGTGGAGAGATGCAAAAAGCCCATGCAACCATCCTTACTATCCACCAACAGGGGCTTTACCTTGACTCATCATAAGATACTCACTTGATATTGTTAGAATCTTGAGGTTCATGAGTTGAGGAGGCAAGATTCAAGTTCAAAAAGATCACTGATCATGAATCCGAAGTGCTGTGTTTCCAAAATCATTGAACAAAACAAAAAAACATGATGTGAAGTTGACTTATCCACGTAGGTAAAAACAAAATATTCAACCATATTGCACGACTTGAAATCAATGATCAAATAATTATTGTTTTGACGTTCAGTGATTTTGAGAAAGCATTCAATCAAAAACCCAACAAATAGTCAAAAGAAAACAAAAGATTTCATAGTCAGTTTTCTCAAACGTCAAAATTCTAAATGGTGGAAAAAGTTGAAATGAGATGTACCAATTTATTCCCAAGAGTTCAAGTCAGTGAACTTGAGAAAGAGATTAGTTATTTGATTGAAGTGTCACCTGGAGAAAGAAAGAAAGCAATCCAAATGGGTTTCTTTTGCTGTAAGATTGATTGATCGATCGATCCAATGTGATTTCAAGTCAAAGAAAATCAAAAAACAACTCTTGAGAAAAGCTGCCATGAAGTGATTGAAAGACAAATATAATGTATGGATGAAGCTTGCACCACTACCTACTGTTGCAGTCTAATCGCTCGCCACCACCATTCTTCAACTTCAGCCCATTTGCCAAGCGCTTGTTGGGTTGTACCAAGATTGCTCATTGCTTCCCCCTGTACATCGTCAGTAAACATAGAAAGGATTATAAATAAATTTCATCGCATATTCAGGACATTCACAATAATGGAGAAGAAGTTGGATCAATCGGTCTTAGCAAGGATCTTTTGGGCACGTACACAGACTGCTACTTTATCTCTCGGTGATTGACAGTCTGTATCTTGTAACCGAGCAAGTTCTGGATTTCAAGTTGAAACAACCAACGATCAGCAAATAAAAGATAACAAAGAAGTAAGATCTGAAAAACCAGTAGAGGCTGATTGAATGATCTGTTCTAAACCAGTTTGAATAGTCCAAATCCGATGAATAGATGACTTACATTTTGAATTTTGGACAGCAAAGCAATCAACAAATTTATCAATAGGATCTAATACAGATTCTTCCAAACTTCCTAACCCATGCCTGATCCTATTTCTTACTGCATCACTCACAGCTCGATCCAATCATTCACTGGTAAGAGTTGAACATGTAAAGATCCTGACTTCAAGTTGAATAGGTTCATCGGCTGGTTTGATTTCTGAACAAAGATCCGAGAGCGAAGGGAACATGGCAAAGGGGAAGATAAGAGAAAGTTAAGAACAAGAATGAGGATGAGGATGCAAAGCAGGAGAAAGAAGAAAAAGATTACGAACATTCCGGATCAATCAATAAGATCTCGATAGATAGGATCTTGATCAGAAAGATCTCAATCAATAAGATCTGATTGTTGTATAATAAAGAGCTGGCATAATCACCCTGTGAATGATAGACGCACGATAAGGGTGACAGTGAAGGTGGATGACGTATGAGATCTGTGGGATTGCATCGATTCAGATTTCTAGAACAAATCAAACAGGAAAGAATATACAGTTAGAAAAGAATGTGTATAATTTGTGATATGAATGGTTCATTTTGATCAGCTTCATTTGTTAGAGCCTCGGTCTCAGATTAAATCATTAAATCATATTTCTGAACTCAAATCAACTCAACTTCGATTTCCAGGTTAACCAAAAACCAAAGCTGTGATTAATAAGATTGGATTATATCGATTGCGTTTCAAAGCACGATAAGACAATACTTTGATTGAAATGAATTTGATTTAATATCTGGACAAAGAGAGATGAGACGATCGATTATAGCACGTTTGATGACAGTTTGTATCTTTCAGTATTAGAATGACTCAACTTGAGGGTGATTGAAGATTTAAAACTCAATGTATGTAGATATGTCTCAGTTTGAGCCGGTAGTATCTTCTTGATAAAGCCTTTCACGATGATATTAAGCTGCAAAGTGTACCGACCGTTTAGAGTTTTGTGTGACTTTGAATCGTTCTGATTCTGCGATTGAAAAATCATTACGCATAGTTACAAATGATTAGATTGCGACCGATTGCGACCAATATCTAGTATAATGCTTTGGCGATGAAACTTTAAATTTCGAAATTGATAAAGGAGAATGTAATATGAGGCGTATTGTTGCATGAATCAATGTACAGCAAGATTGAGTATGGCTTATGCCTCCAGTTGATGTTGGTAAAATTAAAGGTGAGAAGAGGTAACTTCGGTTAGAAAATTGGAACTGCAAACAGAGGAACCACAAATAAAGCTGCTAATTCTCACCAAATGGTTTCTGATCACTCATGTGTAAAAATCGAAAATGGTGCTAATGGTCCAATTTGAAGTTTCTACTTGATGATTAGATTGCCACAGATTGACAGATTGCGACCAAATCCTGATGTGATCCTTTAGCGACTGTATATGATCATCGAGGTAACTTTTAGGAGCAATAACAAGGAACTTGAAAGTAATTATCCCGAGGACAAAACTTCAGGTGGTCAAAATCTGGATTTCTTCCGCTAAAAAGTGGAGGATTTTTAGATTTTGTGTTAATTTGTCTATTTTGTTTGAATTGCTAGTTGACGTTTAATATGAATGATAAACCTTCCCGATCAAATAAGAATCATAGCGGTGATAAGAAGAAATGAGGGGATTACACGAATTGTGAAGAAAAAACTGATATGAAGTACTCTCAATTGTTTGTCAAGAATTGGGGATGCAATCTGAAGTTCATGCAATTCAAAAAAATCTCAAGTATAACAAGATGGCTTTAGAGAAAAGATATAACTTTGGAGATACCTTTAGAGAATATAAGAAACAGATTGTAACACCACTTCTTTCTGTATAATGACTATCTAAACAGTGAGAAAAGTGTATTTCCTGACTGTTCATAGCTTCATTTCTCAGCATCTGAAACCCCCTCGCATCCACTTACATATTACACAACTTACATACACAGCTATCTTCCAAATTTCAAACTCACCTGTGAGCCCCGACTACAACCCAGCTGACCGGGTCTTGTCCGCCAAAAATCCCTAAGTCCACGATCATTACTCAACCACCCACCCACTTCTTCGATATTCAAACATCACCACTTCTTCGAAATCCATCATCACCATCAACCATCACATCATTATTTACTCACAATGGTACGCCGCGTACGAGTATGTCGCTCTCCCAACGCCTCGCCTCCTGGCAAAAAGAAACGGGCATCACCAAAGCCCAAAGCTGAAGCTGAAGCGAAATTCCAGCGGGACGTACAACAAGCTCGTCAATTACTACGCGGCCTCTCAGTCTCACCCGAAGCTGGTCCCTGTACTCACGACTATGACGCTCAGTTGAATCAATTTATGCCGTATGGAGATGAAGAGCCTTCCGAAGATGAAGAGGAAGGTGGCGACGATGACGATGGTGTTGGAAGTGGCTGGGTTAACATGAAGGATTTTGATGAGGATGGGTCAATCCGACGTTTTGTGGCCAAACAACGAGAATATCATTATGCTCAACAACGTGACAAGCTTCGGATGCAGTGGGCCGAAATCAAAAACCAGCTGACTGCTGCTTACCTCGAATGTCAAGCTACGACAACGAACTGGACCACCCAATTCTCATACCTCGACGACGTCAGTAAGGATTGTCAATGCAAAGTATTTCATCATCGCAATATGGATCTAGTTGATATTCTCGGTAAGTGGTGATGTATAGTTAGTTCTTCATTAATGCCTATACTGACCCTACACACGTGAACGCAGGTCGAAAATCTCGATCAGTCAAATTCTGCCGCTGCCTACCCGAACCGATACAGCTTGTCTTCCAAGGCTTTCTCCCAGCATCACCCAGTCAGCCCCGGACCGGCTTTTCCATCCGACTTTTACAACTTCATCACCATCTCTGGCTCACGTCGGTCTGCTCAGTATCGGGATTTATCAAAGGGTTGATGAACTTCCTCAATACTAGATCTGCCAAGCCATTGAAGGCACGAGGAGGCCGTGGTACACGTCGCAATCTCACCCAACCTTTCTCGAACGCCAGCCACCTCTTCAGTCGAGTGAAAGTGTTGTCAAATCAGCTACTTCAAGAAGGTCTCCAAATGAAGCCAGCGGACGTTTGGGCTCGTCGGTGCCCTCGGTGCTTTGGTCCGGCAAAGGAAGAAGTGAAGGGTTTGACGAAGGAACCCGACGTGATCATCTGTATGGACGGCAATTTTCAACATCGCCACAACATCCTTGCCAGTAAGGATAATCCGGAGGAGACTCAATATCCATCTATATTCATCCCGCCGTCCCAAATCGCCCAGCACAACGTTTTCCTCCCTGTTGTTCCTGTAGTCAAAGATGGAGCTGAAGTAAGTACCCGTCGATTTCACTCACAGGACGTACAAACTAACCAATTGGCCCTCAGGATCCATGTTCTGAAGCTCACAAGGCCGCCGACGACACCAGAGGCAAGTCCACATGGGATAAATGCGACGATACCGGGCTCTTCGCGGCGGCATGTCGCCACGATGTTCCCCTGGCGATGGCGAACATCTATCAAAGTGGCGAGAAGTATGTCCAAACTTCCTTTCGAACCTTTCTATCCACCAACAATTGATTCTAGTGTTTTATGTGTAGGATGTACTATCCGTTGAGTGTTTTAAAACGAATCCTGGACGACTTTCCAGATGATACGTTTGGTGTCTTATATGACATCGGTTGTCATCTTGACAAACACATCAAATTAGTAAGTTTATTCTTAATTTCCAAATTCGAATGTGATTGCTGAGTTTGATTTTACACTTCCCTATAGCATAATCTTCTACCGGAACATCGGGACCGCATCTCGCTAGGTACATCGGTCTTCCATGCCTACGTACACACATGGGCTTGTCAACTATTCTACAACCCGAGGTACTTAGACGGTTGGGGTTTATCTGACGGCGAAGGTCTCGAACGGGATTGGTCATTCCTTGACCCCCTAATTGCAATGTTGCAAACATCAACTCGGTTGCATCGGCTTCAAGCGATTGACTTACGATGCTTAGCTTTGGCCTTGGTACTGTTGGCGGGTACTGGGGATTGGCTTCAACGTCGATTTCGAAAATCAACATCAACCGTCCAAGAAGCTCAACAGCAATTGATGACCCTGTGCACAGAGGCTAATCCTTACCAGCCCGGCACAAACTACAACGCAGCGTACTTTAAGACGCAATGGGAAGCAGAAAGAGCAGCTAACCGCACTACCGCCAAAGACATCAAGGTGCGACAACAAATCGAACTAGGTAAACTACTTTGCCTGGAAGCAAAGATGTATGAAACATGGTAAGCATCTCCCTCTTCATCAAAATACAACACTCGACAATATTAACAGGTCACTCAAAAATATTGAAATTTCAATGCAGGGCAAATGATACGGACAACGAAGAGCACACCTTTAAACGGCTGGACGACTTTCAAACAATTGCCAAGGATATTGAGGCGCAGCGCAAGAAAGTCGGCCTTCCAGAAAGCTTATCTAGGCTACCACGTAAGTCCCTGATGGTTTTGACTATAGGTACTTTAACTTACAACTTTGCGAAATCAGCAACAGCGATTGATCTATTTCTGAAAGTTTGGTATGCGAAAACGGAGGTTAGAACACGATTTCTGGCATTACGGGCTGAGCAGAGGCCATTAGATCCCGAGAACAAGGTTGGAGGTGGCTCCAAGCTTGGTGAGCATATATCAAATTATCTCAATAAACTCAAGTTAATGAAAACTTGGTATTCCCCTAGGGCAACACGAGAAAGAACGTATAATGACTGCGATTTCGAAAAGATCGAAAACAATGAAAAAAGCCCTAGCAACTTATAACAAAGTCGCCCAACAGTTTCAGGCCGATTTTCCAGACCACCGATGTTCGCCAGTCATAGAGTATCTCGATTTGTTACAACTCGAGTCCGACGATCCCTTCTGGAATGACGGTGTCTTCACGCATTCGAACGAACCGTGGGCAGTGGATCACAAGACTCAAATGGGGATGAGAGCTCTAGCCCGAGTGCAGCGAGGACAAGAGGAGCTTCGGAGGGTGGGTTGGGAAGTTCGGAGAGCTATGCGTTGGGCAACCGAAGTATATCATCAACTATGGACCATTCTCGACGCTCTCAATCACCCTGATGTCGACTTTCACATTTTCATCGAAGCATTTCTAACTAATGCAGGTTCTTTCAAGCTCTTCATTGCGCACGAAGATAGTGCTAGTACGAGGGTTACTTCATACCGACTTCATCCGGCTTTCTACGTTACAAGTCAGGTGCATAGGAATTGATGGAAGTTCTAATG